TTGGTGTAATGGTATATATATGTTTCATGTATAAGTTATAGTTGGGTTGATACTAGACCTCACAAACGTGTAGTTGAAAGCGTTTGACTTTAAGCCTATCTGTTTAGTTATCATGTCGTGTCAGTCTGTTTATTTGCCTATCCGTTTAGTTATCGTGTCGTGTTAATCCGTTTATTTTTGTTATGATTTTGTGTTTGGTTTTGAGTTAAAGTCTAAACCTTATAGAAAAAATAAAATAAAAATTATAATATGTTTAGAAAGAAAAATGGAATGAATTAGAGTTGGGAAATAAATGAGATATGTAACGAAGAGAGTGAAATTAAGTTATTTTAAAAGTTTGAATTTTACTTTTAATTTTTGAATTTGGGCCATTACAAACATATAATATTTAAAATATTTATAATATGAAATTTATAAAAAATTATATATAATTAAACATGTTATATTTGAGTTGAAAGTCTTAACCCTAACCCGATCCGTTTAATTATCGTGTCGTGTATGTCAACTCTTTTATTTTCGTATCGATTTCATATCGGGTTTCGGGTTAAAGTTTAAACCTTAAAAATATTTTGTTTTATTGAAACATTTTAAAGGTTCATAGTAAGAGATTGGAACCGAAAAAAATTATAATAAGTTTAGAAAGCGAAATGGAAAAGTTTGAGTTGGGAAGCAAATGAGATAAGTAATGAGGAGGAATAAAATTAAGTCTATTTGAAAGTTTGAGTTTTACTTTTATTTCTTGAGTTTGGGCTACTATAGATGTATAAGGCATGAACGATTTAATGAAATATAGCACCGTACTTTCTATTTTCAGCTTGTTTTATCAATGTACTTTCATTAATAATAAGACAATTTCACGAATGGTATTATTTGTAACCTATCTTTTGCAATGTCTGGAAAAAAATCAATGTATGCAAGAGTTTTTTTATTGTATGAAACAACCACTATTACTGCCGTTCAAGACATCGTTGATGGTCTCCTCATACCAAAATCATAGTATACTAAGCAATTGTAGAACTACTATTTTTTCCCCCTTACCATCCTTACGTGTTTTCCTTTTTTTGAGTTATTCAATCACGAAAAGAGAATGTTAAAGGGATGGCGTGGTGTATATTAGAAGGGAAAGAAAGACCGACAATAGTGTGTCGTCAGGTTAAACATAGGAGAATGTTAAATGAAAGGGGAGGAACAAGATTCCATGATTCTTTTTAACATCCCTAGTTAAGAAGGGGAACTCAAAATGGTAGGGGATAGGGACAAGTAGGAGTGGGATATTGTTTGATTTTTTATTTAATATTTTTATTAATGAAAATTTATTTGGCAAACTATAAAACTATTATAAAATGGTATTAAAACTAATTTTAAATGTCTAACTATACAAGAAAATAAAATCATAAAAATCAACATTGTAGTATTCCCTAACATTATACTAAAATTAATATATTTTAAAAACTAAAAGTTTTTTTATTAAATTTTATTTAATAATAATAATAATAATAATAATAATAATAATAATAATAATAATATTAATAATAACAATTTATTATTTTTATTACTATTATTATTAGGGGTTTTCTATAAATACCCTTATCATTTTCCAATTTCACACACCTGATTTGATTTTTTGTCAATTTTTTCCTTATTTTGTTAAATTTGTTGTTTTTAATTCTTTTTAATTTATTATTATTATTATTATTATTATTATTATTATTATTATTATTATATTTTATTATTATTATTATTATTATTATTATAAATTTCGTATAAAAAATAAAATTAATAATAATAATAATAATATAAATTAAAAAAGAATTAAAATAACTAAACAAACAAAATAGGAGAAAAATAAAAATAACAATGGATAAAAAAAAATGATGTCAAATCAAATATCAAAATTTTAATTTGAATGACTTTAGGGGTAAATATGATTAGGAGATTTTTTAAGTACCCCTCTAATTTTCAAATTCCATCATCTGATTTGATTTTTTGTTTTTTGTTGTTGTTTTTTATTTATTTATTTATTTATTGTTTTTAATTTTTTATTAATAATAATAATATTATTATTATTATTATTATTATTATTATTATTATAATTATAAATTCGCACAAAAGTTTAACTTTCAGACGACATTATAAATTCGAACGTCTATATAAAATTAGTTTTAAATATATTTTTATATTTTAATATTAATATTAATATTTTTTTTATTATTAAAAATTGCGAACAACATTTTATAAATCGAACATTATAAATTTGAACGACTATATAAAGTTGGAACAAAAATAAAGTTTAATCCCTATTAATTATGTATATTAATTGGTACGGTATTATAATTGTGTGTTGCGTTATGCAGATTGATACCATTTAGTCGAACACTATTCAATGCTTCCGATTTTATATAAGCATTCGAATTTATAATGTCCGATTTATAAAACGTTGTTCGAAGTTTATAAAATTAATAATGTTAATATTAAAATATAAAAAAATATTTAAAAAACCGATTTTATATAGCTGATCAAATTTAAATTGTTTTCTGGATGTTAAAATTTTATGCAAAATTTATAATAATAATAATAATAATTAACAAAAAAAATTGAAAAAAAACACAACAAAAAAGAAAAAAGCAATGTCAAATCAAATATTAAAATTTTGATTTGATTGATTTTAGAATGTGTCGGACATTGAACCTTTGAGTTGGAGGGCTGGAAATATAATAAAACAGTGGGCCACAATATTTTTTTAGTTGTAAGCCTAATATATAAATTTTTTAATAGTATATGGACTACTTAAAAAAAATAGTGGGGCACAACCCCTTTAGCTCTTAAGAAGTTACGTTCATGTTTTAGATGGGTAAAAACTGTTAAGAATGATATATATATATATATATATATATATATATATATATATATATATATATATATATATATATATATATATATATATATATATATATATATATATATATATATATATATATATAATGGAAATTGTTTCTTATGAATAGTGAACTTTCATATTTTTTATTTATTTTAGTTCCTGCATTTTATATTGTTTTTTTTGGTAAAATTGGTAACTGTAATTTGGCAACTTTGATCTTTATTTTTTAGTTATTTTGATACTTTTGGTCATTGTAATTGATATTTTTATATTTTTTAGGAACCTTTTAATATTTAAAGTTTGGCCACAAAACTTTAACGGTTTGACAACTTTGATCTCTTTTCTATTTAGGAACCTTTTAATATTTAAAGTTTGACCACAAAACTTTAACGGTTTGATAACTTTGGTCCTCATTTTTTAGCCATTTTAATACTTTTGGTCTTTGTAATCGATATTTTTTAACGGTTTAACAACTTTGATCATTTTTCTATTTAGGAATCTTTTAATATTTAAAGTTTGACCACAAAATTTTAACGGTTTGATAACTTTGATCCTCATTTTTTAGCCATTTTGACACTTTTGGTCTTTGTAATCGATATTTTTTAACGGTTTAACAACTTTGATCATTTTTCTATTTAGGAACCTTTTAATATTTAAAGTTTGATCACAAAACTTTAACGGTTTGACAACTTTGGTCTTCATTTTTTAGCCATTTTGATACTTTTGGTCTTTGTAATCGATATTTTTTAACGGTTTGACAACTTTGATCCCTTTTCTATTTACGAACCTTTTAATATTTAAAGTTTGACCACAAAACTTTAACGGTTTGACAACTTTGGTCCTCATTTTTTAGCCATTTTGACACTTTTGGTCTTTGTAATCGATATTTTTTAACGGTTTGACAACTTTGATCCCTTTTCTATTTAGGAACCTTTTAATATTTAAAGTTTGACCACAAAAAACTTTAACGGTTTGATAACTTTGGTCCTCATTTTTTAGCCATTTTGATACTTTTGGTCTTTGTAATCGATATTTTTTAACGGTTTAACAACTTTGATCATTTTTCTATTTAGGAACCTTTTAATATTTAAAGTTTGACCACAAAACTTTAACGGTTTGATAACTTTGGTCCTCATTTTTTAGCCATTTTGAAACTTTTGGTCTTTGTAATCGATATTTTTTAATGGTTTAACAACTTTGATCCTTTTTCTATTTAGGAACCTTTTAATATTTAAAGTTTGACCACAAAACTTTAACGGTTTGATAACTTTGGTCCTCATTTTTTAGCCATTTTGATACTTTTGGTCTTTGTAATCGATATTTTTTAACGGTTTGACAACTTTGATCCCTTTTCTATTTAGGAACCTTTTAATATTTAAAGTTTGGCCACAAAACTTAAACGGTTTGACAACTTTGGTCCTCATTTTTTAGCCATTTTGACACTTTTGGTCTTTGTAATCGATATTTTTTAACGGTTTGACAACTTTGATCCATTTTCTATTTAAGAACCTTTTAATATTTAAAGTTTGACCACGAAACTTGAACGGTTTGACAACTTTGGTTTTCATTTTTAGCCATTTTGACACTTTTGGTCCTTATAATCGATATTTTACATTTTTTAGGAACTTTTTAATATTTAAAGTTTGACTACAAAACTTTAACGGTTTGACAACTTTGATCCATTTTCTATTTAGGAACCTTTTAATATTTAAAGTTGGCCACAAAACTTTAACGGTTCGACAACTTTGATCTATTTTCTAAAAACTTGCTAATTTTAACGCTTTAATTCTTTAGCCATTTTCACACTTCTAGTCCTTGCAGTCAAAACTTTTACATTTTCTCATAAAAACGTGAACAAAACGGTCCGGGGCAAAGCCCGGGCTTGTTATCCTTACATTTTCTATGTCTGTCATATTTATCGATTCGAAAACAACATTGAAAGCTTTTAGCCTGGCTTAGCGGGGTAACCTTTCTAGTTATTTTTATGAATTTTGATTGCCTTGGGAGTTACGTATCGTATGACGTATGTCATATATCCTGCTAGAAAATGAGGACCCGCCGCCTGCCGGGCACCTCACATATCATATATATATGATCATAATACAATATTGAATAGGGGATTGAAGTGTTCTATTTGGTCACGTCTCGTAATATATATAAAGGCAGAAACACATACACTTTCTCCTCCAGTCCTCCACCTCAAATGATTTCACCTTTCCTCTAATACAAACAAAAAAACACTACAGAAAGTCAGAAATCAACAGAACAAAGATGGAGGTTTATGAAGATGAAGATATAGTGATTGTTGGTGCTGGGTTAGCTGGTCTCACAACTGCCTTGTCTCTTCACAGGTATTCAAATTCTACCATCTCTTTTGCACGCTTCACTCACTTGTACCCTGCAACTCATCCAATCGCCACCATCGGGAAAACTCACTCACTCACCACTGATTGAAGCAATTCATAAAAGCTCTTTCCTTTGTTTCTTAGTTACTTGTACAGTATTCATGTATTTGAATTTGCGCTTCAAATGTTCACCTTGTTTTCTTTTTCTTTCATCAAGATTGGGTTTGAAGAGCTTGGTGTTGGAGTCATCAGAGAGCTTGCGAATTACCGGATTCGCCCTTACACTATGGACCAATGCTTGGAAGGCACTCGATGCGGTTGGAATCGGGGATTCCCTCAGACAAAAGTCTACCCAAATGAAAGGGTAAAATAGTCATTATAACCAGGGTTATTCCAGTAATTCTATAATCAACTCAGTTTTGTTGTTCCAGATTCAAGATCGCATCTCCTGATACTGGTCTTTTTACTTCACAGCAAGCTCTCGACAAAGATGGAAAATTGTGAGTTATTTATATATTTATGATAACGACACAATTCAAATCATTTCACATTACGTTTTTTCAGAGATTTATTTATGTGTGTGGTATTTCTTTCTATATATAAACTCTAGTGACTGTAAATTAATCTCGATTAATTTATAGCAAAGGTTATGAAAGCCGATGTGTTAAGAGAAAGGATTTAATGGAGACATTAGTCAAGGAGCTTCCACCAGGCACCATTAGATACTCTTCCAAGGTCGTCACCATTGATGAACACGATCGCTTCAAGCTCGTGCACTTAGCCGATGGCACCATTCTCAAAACCAAAGTAATATTTTCTTTAAACGGTTTTACTTTGATGAATCATATATATATATATATATATATATATATATATATATATATATATATATATATATATATATATATATATATCTCATTCATTAATGTATCAATGTATAGGTCTTGATTGGATGCGATGGAGTTAACTCAGTGGTGGCAAAATGGTTGGGTCTCGGGTCACCCGTAAGTGTGGGGAGGTCAGCTATTCGGGGCTTGGTTGAGTTCCCAAATGGGTCGGGTTTTGATCCTATGTTTCATGTCAACTTTGGAGGTGGTGTACGCTATGGTTTTCTTCCCGTTGATGACAAGACTGTCTACTGGTTTTGCACCTTCACCCCATCTCAAGTTCCATCTTGTAAGTCGTTTTTGAATATGAGTTATAAAACATATTATATATACTTATATTTAGAGTCAAGATTCAAGAATCACTTTTTTCTTATAGATGAAGAAGATTGGTATGAAAACCCTATAAAAATGAAGCAATTTGTATTGAGTCGGATCAACAAGATGCCTCAAGAAGCGCAAGACGTGGTGGAAAGAACATTGATAACTAGCATATCTTTGTCGCCATTAAAGTTCAGATTACCATGGAATGTTTTATTTGGAGACATAGTGAAAGACAATGTTTGTGTAGCTGGGGATGCCCTTCATCCGATGACTCCTGATATAGGTCAAGGTGGGTGTTCATCATTAGAAGACTCGGTGGTCCTTGGAAGATGTATTGGGGAGGCTCTTTTGAAAAAAGTTGATGGAAAAGATGATGAGTTTGAGAGGATTGAAAAGGGGTTGAAGAAATATGGAAAGGAAAGGAGGTGGAGAAGTTTTAGTTTGATTAGTGTTGCTTATTGTGTGGGGTTTATGCAAGAGAGTAAGGGTATAATGATGAGTTTCTTGAGGAAAGTGTGGTTTTCAAAATATACACCTAGTGCTTTTCTTAAGATGGCTAATTTTGATTGTGGGGATCTTGTAATATGAATCAAGAAATGGTAATTTTCTTCTGAAAATGAGTTAGATTCATGATTTTTAAGATATTATTTTGTATCTAAGCTATCATAGTAATGAATGTTTTTCTATGTTATATATTTATTATCAAATAGTTTTCTTTAATTATCATGGTACAATAGTGAGATGACAAACGGGCAACAAGCTGCGCCGTTAAGCCTTTTTATATGGTAAATCTAATTCTTTTAAAAACAACATCCATAGATTTAGGGGATAGAACATTGCTATGCATGATCCGTTGTATTCTATTAAGAAACTCGACCGCATCCGACGAGAGGAAACCAAATGTATCAAATGCAAATTGTATGAACAAGTGTTGATTTTACATGTACGATTTCTCATGTTTGGTGACTTTTCTTGTAGGAGCTTTTAAAGCAGCCTGTCCTGCTGTGAAACCCCCAGCCCTGAAGCCCAGAAGAGGGGATACCCCTGTAAGGTCCACACATGCATGTTTTTCCCCGACCCATCCAAAAATCAATGTTAGTCGGTTTGAGGGTTGACATTCCTTCTGTCGGGTCAGTCAAGAAATTAACATGTGCTTCTTTCTTAGCAGAAACTCTAGCACGCTTAAATGTGTCAAACAAAACATCCCTAACCATATCGTGCCTGTATTTGAACCCCGGAAGCATGATCGGTTTAGAGCAGGGGCACCATGTACAGCTGTACAGGGCCTAAAATTTTTAGGGGCCCGTTCTTTTAATTTTTTTTTAAACTATACACTTATAGCCTACAGGTTGGCCCAAGGGTGAAGGAATGAAAATTTGTAGACCACCCACAAGACGCACTGCCAAAAGTGAGAAGATGCACAAAGAAAAATATAATGAATAACAACCATCTCTGTGATTTACGTTCAGGCTTAACGATTCAGAAATCAGAATCAGTAACCATAGTGTGATTTTCTGGTAAAAGCATGACTTTCTAGTAAATGCCTGATTTCTACTTTTCTTTTTGTTCAAAGCCTTGAATCGGAATTGGATTTTTCCGATTTGTCCCAGAAATCCGAAATTTTACATACCAGATTATGTTTATTGCTTAGATTATGTTTATTACATATTAGAATTTAAAAATATGTTTATATGTTTATCAGATTATGTTAATATGTTTATCAGGAAGTGTCAAGACCTGCTATGACCTGCCAATCAAATGATATTCAAAAGAAGAATAAGAACAAAATCTTTATTGTATTTTACTGAAAATACTCAAAGTAGCAAAAAGATAACAATGGTCTTCTAGCTTTATAGGTGCTGGTCCTAAAATAGGCATGACCTTTTAGTGTTGAACACCATCTACGGTAATATAACCATTCCATTATCCAACCACTTTTCGTTATTCAAGGTGGAAAATCTTCCTTTTAACTTTCTTGTTAAAAATGATTAAATTATTACAAACTAAAATGTAAATAAACCATAAAATAGCAATCACAACCCAATAAAATTAACCATCACACTGCTACCTTTATAATACATGTATGCTACAAAAAAGGGTAAAATTGGAAATACATTAGTGCCAAAATAGCATCAGGTGGTTAAGGGGTATTTTGGCCAATTTCTGCAAAGAGTTTGTTGCATGTAACGCCCGTGTTTCTAGGCTTGCCATTTTTAACAATATAATAGTCTAGGTTAACCTTGTAACTCAACTTGAAATAATAAGAATGTATTATTTGTGAATTATTTGAATTATGTGATTTATGTGTGTATTTTCCTAATTTTTATAATTTAATGAATTAAGAATAAAATAAGCGTCAAAATTAAAGTGTGAGATAAGCCTGACATCTTTGCATAAAGTTGTAGTGGTTGAAACAAGGATTCCGGAGATATAAGGAATGCCAAAATCCGAGTTATAACGAAGAAGTTATGACCTGTCGAAGTTTCGAGACAGAACCGGTACGACGCCGAGTGACGTAAAATATGAATTTAAGATAGAGCGATATTTAGCCTTAGCGATCTAAACGAAAGTCGTAGATTTCGTTAAACCGAGAGCGTGCATAAAAGGAACGCCCAAATCTGACTTCGTATGAGGAAGTTATGATTTTCTGAAGTTTCGACGTGGCAGTATGCAGCCCGAATACTCGATTTGAGATCGAGCGGTTTTTAGCCGAAACAATCTAAATGAGAAACGAAGATCTCGTTGTTAGTAGCGAAACGATGACAAGTTAGGCGAGGACGGACGTCAGACGAAGAAGTTATGAATTTATAACGAAGTTTTTCTGTCCCGGCCTTCTAAAAATAAATAATAAAAATAAAAGTCAAAATTAGCCGACGGAGTCTAAATGAAAGTTGTAGAGTATGGTTTGACCTTCGCGTGGATATAAAGAACATCGAAAACGGAGCTCGTATGCGAAAGTTACGCAATTTAGAAGTTTGACAAGTCAATTACGCCCCGCGTAATTTGAGTACGCCCTGCGTACTCAGTCGGATGCAACTTGTCTGACCAATACTCGAGTGCCACCAGTCGACGCACGCAGTGACGTCAAAGTACGCCCCGCGTACTGAGTACGCCCCACGTAATTTGAGATTACGCCCCGCGTAATCCCAGACCCAGCAGCCTATAAATAGAACTCGAATTCAGCCATTTTCTCTTGTTCAAACTCTTCCCTCTCTCTAAGTTTTGCCTCGTTTTGCATGTCGTTTATGCCCCAAAGCCCCGGTATCATTCCCGAGCCCCGAAGCAAGATCCGAAGCCCCGAGGATCCCGAAGAGCGTTCTTCTCGAGCCGAAACGCTGCCCGTGAGGAGCCCGGTTTTGTGAAGATCTTCCAGATCTACGGAGAAAAACCTCTTCTGCAAGCCGTAGTGCTGCCCGATCATCTTCTGATCAAGTGAGTGTGTAGTTATTTTCATTCCAACGCAATATTATGAAGTATTTCCTATAAAATACGTGTTATGTGTATATATTTGGTTGTTATACGTGTGAGTGTATATTCACTCTCTTCTATCTTATAGATCTGATGTATTCTCTATGAAATACGTGTTATGTGTGTATGCCTCATCTGTTATGTGGAATATGTATTGCTTAATGCATGTTATACAAGTTTTTAAACAATGTATAAAAATGTATATTTTTATCTACTAATATGTTGGGTAGAACATGGGTAGGTAATTGGTGTGTAATAAACAGATGAGAGGCCTCGGTGTTATTGGTGTTATTCTAGTCATTCAGCAGAGTATGGATGACGACCACGGACTATTCTAGACTGTCCTGTGGAATACTAGTAGGCTCATTACCTGTAGGTGTTGTGAACGACGTGTTCACCGGTGTACTCTATCCCCCACATGGTTGCCTTTAGGATACTTATTGTTGAGGAAACCCCTCTGCAGTAATGTCCGTCCCGATGAAAAATCCTAAATTAGGTTCCTTATAATAGACGTTATTTTTAGGAACGTAAGGTGAGGATAACGGGAATGGGTAATCGGGTTTATTGTTGATTGTTGAAATTAAATATAATTATTGTGGGTTGAAAACCCTATATGCTCACCAGGCTCCCAATCCTGACCCACTCAGTTGATTTATTTTACAGGAAGTGGCGCAAGAGTTTAAGATGGGCGAACATCAAGTTGTTTTTTGTTTACAAGTCTGTATATGTATATATTTGTTGAACGACTTGTAATGTTATCGTTTATGCTTTATGACCTGTATCGGAACATGACATCCCGACTTTTGATTATGAAATGAAATCATATTTCTTTATGAAATGTTTTGATAAATATCTATTTTATCATGTTTTGTTTTTGGGAACAAATTTCGCATCTCTTTTAAAATTAAAAGGATTTACTCTGAAAATTATTTTAAAAAGCATAAATGAAATCGGTCTTTTCTGGCCGAGATTTTGGGGATGTCACAGTTGGTATCAGAGCATTAGTTTAAGCGAATTAAGAATTCGTAGGATTTCTAAACTTAAACTTAGGATGCTAAGTGGAGATTGTTAGGTGTGTGTCTGATAAATTTTTAGACACGAGCACTAGTTTATTTTAGGAAAGTTGCCTAAAATGCTTTTATGTGCTAAATGTTATATGTTGCCATATATGATATTATTTGTTCGGATCTACGGTTTATTGCCAACCGGATCTGAAGGTTTATGTGTTTAGGATTCTAAGCGTATATGTACGATATTAAAACTAGCATGTAATCGTTTGGAGTAATAAGGTGAAATTATTCGGTGTATAGATCAAAATGGTGAGAACAAGAAGCAGAGTTGGAAATGCTAATGAAAACAGGAATCAACCGCATGTAATCGAACAAGTACCTGTCGTAGCTGCTGCACCTGAGCCGATAATAATGGTTGGTGTACAAATGATTATTCAAATGATGTTAGATCGTCAGATGGAAGAAACAAGACGCCTGCTTAGGCAGAATCGTGAAGAACCGTCAATTCAAGCGGAAGAGCCCGAGGATAATGGAGGGCAGTCTGAAGGAGAAAACTTTAGTGGGATCATTGGTCAAGACGAACAACCAGTGGTTAGACGCAATAACCAGTATGGAGGAAATGATGGTCGTGGGTGCAAGTATAAGGATTTCATGGCATCCAAACCACCATGCCTATCCGGAAGCCCGACGCCGGTGCAAGTTATGGACTGGGTCTCCGAAATGGAGACTATGTTTGAAAGTTGCGAATGCAGCAACAGGCAGAAGACCGCTCTTGCGATCCCTCTGCTAAAATCTGGCGTGTTGAGTTGGTGGAAGCTGTTAGCTGACTCTATGCCCAAGGGAGAAGCAAGCAAAATGTCTTGGGAAGACTTTGTGGAACAACTAAAGCTACAATACTGCTCCGAGCAGGACCTTCTGGAAATCAGTAATGAGTTTCAGAATTTGAAGAAAGGGAAATTGAGCGTTACTGAATACGCTACAAGTTTCATGGAAAAGATGAAGTTTATCCCATATTTGGTGCCTACAGAACTCTCTAAGGTCAACAAGTTTGCCCTTGGACTACCAGCGGACTATGGTCCAATGGTTAAGCAAGCAACCACATTGAAAGCCGCCATCTGGGCTGCTAGAAATGTTGAGACCCAGATCAGGGAAAAGGTCTAGAAAGGTCAGAGGTTGGTGAGAAAAGGAAAATCGATGGATTTTCAGGGTCCAGCAAGAAAAGTAAATTCTCGAAGTCTAGTTCGAGAGGAAGTGGAGGAAAGGTAGAGGCGAAATGGTGCGACAAGTGCAAGAAGAAGCATCATGGGAAGTGTGGTGGGGAAACCACATGCTTCAAATGTGGAAAGCCAGGGCATTATGCCAACGAATGCACCTTCACCAACAATGTTTGTTATGGTTGCGGTGAGGAGGGGCACATCTCAAGGGATTGTCCGAAGAAGAAGGAGGCAGCAAGACCCAACATTCCGCCAAAGCCAAAGGCGAGAGCATTCCAGATGACACTGAAAACACATTATGTAAACTGTTTTGACTCATTTTTTTTGACATAAAATGTTAAAAATACAAAGTTGAAGGGTCTAAAATGAAATATTTCGAAATCTGATGGGTGAGATGAGTCAAAACAGTTTACATAATGTGTTTTCTGAAAATATACCATTTGGAGGGTTAAAAACATAAATTCAAAGCTTAATGGGCTAAAAATGACATTTTCGGCCCAATGAGGCCGATTATGCGAAATTTTCTGTTTTGGAGGGCCAAAACTGTATTTTTCTGTAAAACAGTGGACTATATGTGTTCCAAGTCCTTTTCAAAGGTTTAAAATGCTTTTTAAATTTAAAGGGGACTAAAGTTGCAAAAATTTTACAATTTGGGCCAAAATTGTCAAACTTGCGAAAAGGATGGGTTATAACCGAGAAAACTGAAATTTCAGGGGCTTAAGCTGTTTTCTATGAAAAATATGATGGAAAATATTTATTTCAAAATTTTTTGGTATTAAAATGTCAAGAAAATTGATTTAAGTACCAAACCGTAAAGTATTTAAATAAAGGGGTTGAAAAAGTAAATTTTACAATCAAAGAGGGACTGAAAACAGAAAATTCTCAAGGCTAGTTCAATACATGCAATTTGACCAAATGATGGTACCACGACTATCGACGAAATACAATACATTACAA